AATCTTGAGTCTGAACAAAGAATTGTCCCCCCAGCATTTAAAAAAAAAATTAGTGTTGTTTTTTGTTTCCCTGATTGAATAAACCATATTAAAGTAATTTTAATATGTTGTGATTTTTTTAAGGTGGCAACTGAGGTAAAAAATAATGGGAACACTGTATGACACTGAGTCCGTGAAAATAAGTCAATGATTTTGACACTCAGAATAACATTAAACTTACTGTTTTAGAAAACCTGAATGGCTTAAGGATTTTTTATGTAGTCCAGTTTTGTAGTAACTGAAACTATTTAAGGTCAGACAGCTATTTCCCCTCTAACCTATGTTAAATAACTTGGTGATCTCAGTTCGGATCATTGTGGATAAGTGGTCTCATGATTAGCTCAGGTTGGCAATCTGAGCAGAAGGCTGAGGACTGAGTTGCTGTGGAGATCTCGGTATCCTCTGGTCCACAGAGGTATGCTTCCAGAAAATGGCCATAGTAAAGGTAATATAGGGCTGTTGCCTGTGTCATACTTGTTTGGTGGCTAAATAGGGATTTAGTGTCAACTGAGTGTCTTTATGAGTACGTTACTTCAGTGAGAGTGGAAGTTACTGCTTCCTGTATACTGCTTTTCTGTGGCTTCATAGCTTAACAGCAGTCTCTACTAACCTTGGTATTTTTAAAGGTGCTCTGAGTTTCTGCATAGGGTGATAATTTTATGTAAGATTTATAGGAAGCCCTATAGTTTAGTATTGCCTTATAATTCCCATTTTAACATGTATGTGTATATATGTATAAGTGCTATGACCTTTATGCACCTCCAAATTTCCCAAACATAATGATTTAAAAGCAATATACATATTTACTTTTTACTGTATTTGTGAGTTTTATTATGTTCCATTCATACAAATTGCTTCTCTGCTAACCAGTTCAAAGGCAGAGGAACAAAAGGAGACTAAGAAAAGGAAACAAGTCCAAGTAACATGAATGTAATAAAATAGGTTAGTGTGAAGTGCTGTTGACTCATCCCAGATTCTTGCCCATATATGCTTACATTCATAACTCTGTGGCTTATGTGTGTGTGTGCACACACACCTACACACACTTTATGTAGTACTATACTGCACTCATATATCTAGCTATCTGCATCCATCAAAAATTTAAAAATGCACTTTAAATCACATAAGTAGATACCCCTGTTCTTCAGTGTCTTATAACTACTTATCAGCAATTTATACTTTTGTAGTATAATTTTGAAAGTCATTGATCTATTTCTAACATAAGTTTGATTAATATTACCCCTTTGCCCACAAATCAGACAAATCCACATTTGTTTCCTGGTGCTACTTACTTAATTACATTACACTACTGTTATATAATTTAGAGTAACTGCATTTATGGAAACATCACAGATATTGGCAGTTAATATTGTGAAGTGATACAGAGTATGACAAATTACCATGTATATCTTAAGTTGTGGAAAAATGGTGGGAAACTAAATTATATTGGTCCAAATTATGGTCCATCCTTCTAAAGCACAGGCCTAAAGGCAACCTATATTTTCCCTCTGCTGGGTTGTCTTTTCCTGCATGTGGGGAGTGGTAGGTTCCCCAGAGTCACTGCTTCCCTTTCTCCTCTACTTGCACAAGGGCTGGGTTGGACAAGCAGAGAAGTGAACTTTGGGACACCTTCTGTTTATGTAAACCCAGTAAGCTTACTCCTTCCTCAGGGCAGCAAAAAGACAAAACAAGGGAGACAGTGATTCAGGGAATCTCAAATTCCTTCTTAGGCTGCTTCAGGCAACATGATGCTTCTTTGCTGTGGGCTGAATTGGAAACATGCAGTCTATCCCATTGTTTAGGAAACAGATTGTTATGCACAAAATTTAGAGATGAAATTCCCTATCTCAACTTTGAGGTACCCAGGAAGCCTGAGGGAAGTGTGATTATTCCTGTAAGGCCCCCTGTGAGGGTTCTCTGACATGGTGGTACCCCCAGCAGGCCTCAGGTTGACTCCTACACCTTCTTCCATGCAGTTGTGAAGGCATGGAGTCTTCTGGGCTAGGGACAGACATTCAAAAAGCCAGAGCTGGAATTGGTTCAATATTTGTAAGTTAATCTAACCTGCCTAGATTGAATCAGCTTGAAATTGCACAGACATTCCCTCCTGGACTGAGGAAATGTAGGCACATGCCTACAGTTGCTCAGGCCAGGAGATGGGGGGCATTAGAGCAGCCCTTAGTTGCAGGGAAGCTGTGCTGGGGGGAACGTGACCAGTGCCAGCAGTAGCTCTGAGTGAACTGGCCAGGGAGGGGTTTAATCTCCCCTCCCTGTCCCATTGGTAGGGACCAGGGCTGGGGTCCACCTGGAGCTCCCCCCTCGTGGCTGTAGCGGTGGGGCCAGGGTGCAGTGAAACACCAGCCATTGTGGCCCCTGAGGCAGAGAGGGCAGGAAGGGAGGTTATTTCCCCCTCTGTCCCTGGGAGACTGCAGTGGTGTCTGCCTGCCCTGATCACTACTGATACCCACTCGTGGCCCTCCCACCAGGAAGAGGCTTGTGCTCCCCTGTCACAGTTGCTCCCCCTCACCACTCCAGGGGCAGCAGGAGTACCACTAGAGCCTGGCTGGCAGGGCCTCTTAGGTGGGGGCATTATTTCTCCCTCCCTCTGACATCTGGTGGAGGGGGCTTATCTTGCTGCTCACTCCTTGCAAGCAGCAGCAGCAGTGGTTGGGGTGGGCAGAACCCGTGTGGTCCCCTCAGGGCGGAGGAGGGAAATAACCCCCTCCCGGCCCCCTGCCAGAGGGGCCCAGCTGGCTAGCCTCTGGCCGCACCCTTGTCCCTAGAGCAGCAAAGGGGGAGCGACCATGATCGGGGAGCAGTCCCTGTCATGGTGTCCCGGAGCATGAGCCCCTTCCCAGCGAGGGTGGGGGGTGCACTCTGGGCAGGGAAAGCTACCGCAGATGAGTGGCAGCACTAGGTGGGCTTGGGAGGCAATGGCCCCCTCTGAGCGCTGGTGTCACCACCCACCCTGTGCAGTCCATGGCAGCTCTGACCCCTGTTCATGGCCCCTCCACTGGGAAGAGGCTCGTGATGCCCAGACACCAGGGTAGGGGCAGCAGCTATATCAGGGCCCTGGCACCTCATGGCTCCAGCAGTAGGGCAAGGGTATGACCAGAGCCCAGCTGGCAGGATCCCTTAGGCGAGGGGGCAGGGAGAGGGGTTGTTCCCCCCTCCCTCTGACGTCTGTCAGGGGGGCAGGAGAGGGCTTATAGAGCAAGAGCAAGCATGTGGTCAGGGCTGGCAGACCGCCAGACTTGTGGTCCTCCTACAGCGGGGAATAAACCCTTTCCCTGCCTCCCTGACTCAGGGGTCAGGCCAACCAGTGTTTGACCATGTCCCAGCCCTGCTGCTACAGACCCCAGTCCAGATGTATGCTGGTGGGACAGGGAGGGGGGGGAATTAAATGCCTCCTTGGCCAGTTCATTCAGTGCTGCTGCCAGGACCGTTGCTGGAGCAGCCGGCGGAGACGTGCAGGTCCCTGCCAGTGGGACAGGGGAGGTGGGGGGTGGAATAAACCTCTTCTCTGCTCTCTTCCCAGGGCCAGGCCCCCACCCCTGCCTGTCCCTGCTCGGGCTGGGGAACAGAGGGTCTGGGCCAGCACTTCTGAGCTGGAGCAGAAAGCCCAGCCCAGAGAGCATGCCAGGATGCTGGGGGTCTCTGGTTTAAGTTAAACCAGGAACCGGTCTGGGACAGACATTGCATAAACTGGTTTGAGCTCAATCAGTTAAATCTGGTACTGCATTCAACCAGGTTTATCTCAAATCGGTTTCAGCCTTTTTAAAACTGTTTTATGTGCACTGAACTTACATTTTATTACAGGTTTAAACCAGTTTCTGATCGCTTAAACCAGTTTATGTGCAATGTCTGTCCCTAGCCCTGGAGGGTAGGGACAGAAATTGGGCAGTATCGCTAGTGGTAGCAAGTGTTACTGTTGCATTTGTGTGGACCAGAGGTTTTTATTATTGAGTCCTAAATAAAAAATATGTAGTAAATCAGTAAAGATGAGCCACCCTGACAAATTCAGACTAAAATTTTGCCTTCCCTTTATTCTTAGGGGAAGGCAATACCTCAGTATAAGATCTTGTTTTCCACTTTAATATCTTTCCATAACCCAAAAATACCTAACAGGCTTTGCATAAACTGAGAACGATCATGGAAAACCTTTTGGAAATTTCACTTTTGAAGATAAAATTAAGATCAGCTATAGGGTCTTTGTAAAACCTAATATAAATCTACTTACAGCAGGTGCTGCTAGGTACCTATTAATTATTAATTATGTATACTAAAATATTTTTGGCAGCTTCAGTGTCTTCATACCTCTGGGCAGTCCAAACATTTCAGTGCTAGCAGATTTTATATTACATTTTTGCATTGGTGACTTTTTCAGGGAATGAAAATTGAATTGAAATTGATTTCAGATTAACCAGTATGAAGCTGAATAGGAATTGTTCATAGATTTCATAGACATTAGGGCTGAAGGGACCTCGGAAGATCGAGTCCAGCCCCCTGCCCCAGGGGCAGGAAGTCAGCTGGGTTCATAGGATCCCAGCAGGATAAACATCCAAATTTCTCTTGAAGGTGTTCAAAGTAGGTGCTTGAACCACCTCCGGTGGCAGGCTGTTCCAGACCTTGGGGGCTCGGACAGTAAAGAAATTCTTCATTTTGTCTAGCCTGAAACAGTTTTGCAGGAGTTTATGTTCATTGGAAGCCATATATTAACAGCATCTAGCTTATACAAGGGCTTTTTGTTTTAGTAAAAGTTAGTAGTAAATTTCTACTGTTCAAAGGTACATCAGTAGTTGCATTCATGCTGCCACCCAGCTTGAGGTATGCTGTTACTGTGACCTTGAATTTCTTATAGGGTTGAGTAGAGTAATTTTACAATTGAATCCTGCAAGAAATTTGCACTGGGAACTTCCGTTAAATTTAACAGCATGTACAAGAACTCCAGGATTTATCCGTAGGGTAATTGGTTCAGTGAAATCTATTTATTTTCAGAGCAGAACACTTGAAATAAATACTAATAACAGTAACCACAGGTTTCATTGAAGTACTCTAGGATCTCTCTCACCAAAAAGGTATTTGTAGGGGTTCTTCATAAAAAGACTCTGCCCTCTTTTTTGACCTTTCCATTTCATTCAGGTCTCCAAAACAACTTTTTGTTTTTTGTTGATACATCTTCCAGAGTCCATTTCCCAACTCCTTGTTACTTTCTCCTGGCCTCCTGCACTTACATACTTTTCTTTCACTGAACTTTTATGCATGTTCCTCCAGACTTTCTGTATTGCAGAGATTAAATCCTCTCTACACAAAACCTACCTCTGTCTCCTCAATCTATGCAATGGAAACTTGCTTTACTTTGCATTCCATATTGGCTGCAGTAGGGGAAGCTCCTTAAAACATATCTCTTCTAGGAGCTAAGCTGTCTAGGAACCTGACTGAGGTGGCAGAGCTGCATAAAAATGTCTTTCATGAGATCAGTGGGAGTTGGAATGAGCTTTGTATATTTGAGCACTAACGAATTGCAATTTAGGAGTAACCTAAGGATCCTTATGTAAGTGATAGGTAACAGTAGTTATCTCTGAGTTCAAATGGTGAAGGCTTTGAGTTTGAAACTATGGGACCAGAGTTTCAATTCTGGATCTGCAGGTGGTTGGTATTGACTAAATTAAGGTGATGGTTTCATTATAGTTAATGTTACAGTCCCATTATAAGTCTGAGTTACATCCCTCTGTAATGCAAAAAGAAAAATTCTCAGGCTTGGATTTTTAGGGTTAAATCTCATTAAAAGGTTCTGATAAAACATTGAATCAATTAAATCCCTTTAAAAAAATTAAGAAAGTTTTAAACATTTCCTTTTTGACATTTGGCAAAACATCCAGTTCATGGTGTCCCTCTCTGTGCTCAACAAAGTCCCTTTACCCAGTGGAATTTGAAATTGGCTCAAATTTGGTTGAGCTTGACATTGGTTCCTGCAAGAAACAATTTTCAGGGTCAAGGATAGTAAAATATTTGAGAATAGATTTCATGTTCTATCTGTGAAACCAGTGTGGAATAACTATAATGGAGAGCACTTTCATTATTGGCCCAGGCTGTGTTTTAAAAGAAATTAAATTAAACACCATGATTTGTTTGGGGTTTTTTTGGTTCTTGGGTTTGTTTGGGGGTTTTGGGGCGGGGGTGAAGGGGTTATGTATTGTTTTTTTTAAGTCCCTTCTCCAGGCATACCATGTGACAATGCAGTCTTGATCTTGAAAGGGTGTGCACAAGTCCTTTTGCCATTTGACATAACTGAATGGCATAGACATTGTCATTTGTTCAAAATCTCAAAGAACATTTGTGGCAGAGCTTAAAATACAATCCTTATCTATTATGCTAGTCCCATGGCTTAATCTGTTAGTCCTGAAAACTGTCTTAAATTTCTGTTCTCTCCCTGGTTGTCAAGTGGAGTAATTCTCCTTGTCCACTTTGTCCATACACTGACTTCAAAGCATTGTTATTACCCAGATGTTTTCACATGAAATTACTAAGAAGGGTAACTGCTTGGTTGATGATCATTATTAATGGGATGGGCATTGGAACCAAGAGACTTAATGCGAAGTTTGCAAAATAGCAGACTAAAATCAGACTCCTAAAGGTTGATGTAGCTGCCTGAAGAAGTAGAAGTAGTTTGATTGTCAAAAATGCTGAGCATCAAGCGGTTCCTATTGAAAGCTGCTGTATGTGCAGTAATTTGAAAAGCAGACAACTTTTTTTGAAGCTTAAATTGAGTTTTTGATTAATGGGGCTCATACTTAGAGCCCTTAGTCAATTAGGTGTGTTAGGAAATCCCACAGACTTGGGACTCTTATTTCAGAAAATCCTGGCTCTAGTTTCTAACTTTGGATTTGAAAATTAATTTTCTGTGATATATTTTTTTGCCTGCCTTCAAGATGAACATAGGCAGTGCTGTGCATTTATATATGGCTAATTTTGCTACATAATGAAAGTGCAGATTTTGTCAAGTGTTCAGTGAATGAGGCAGGTCTCACAAGATCAGTTATCGAGTTTGACCAACTCTGCTCACTCAGTTCTTTTAATATGAGGGCCCATTCATTCCATTTATTGAAAATTAACAAAAAGAAATTAAGCCAATGCATATACTCATCTCCATTTAGGACTGCCTATAAACATGTGGTTAAATTCCTCTGACTTCAGTTAAATACAATCTGTGCCTGAAGTTAAGCAGCTGCTTACCTGTTATCCCAAACAAAGCTGTTTTCATGAATTGGTGCCAAAAGCATAAGGAGAGTCTGCAGTTGAGAAAACCAAAGGTGGGCGGAGGGTTGGGGACTTTATACAGAACTCCAAACAGCAAAATGTAAATATTAATAGGTATGTAAGGTTGCTGAGTGACAGCAATGAAGTTAATTTGCCTCATGAGTTATACAATCCAGGCACTTATAAACAAGAAAATTAATGATTAAGGATATCATAAATCTTACACTGCCCACATTGTAAACAAGCACATTATTCTTACCAAGTATAAACTACACTAACTCAGACCTTGAATGATTACAAGGTGAGATTTTCAAAGTAGAATAGCATGCAGCTAAACTCATCAGTTATCTCAAAATATTAAAAACGACACAAAAACGTTTCATAAGACTCATAAAATACATGTAGTGCTATATATGGTTAACCTCTAATGCAAAAAATCTATTTTTTTTTGTACAGAGCCATTTTCCTCATTTTTGCATGGTTAATACTGACTGAATAAAGATTTTTACAGTCAATAATAACTATATCAACTGGTGATAATTCCTCTTGAAATATTTTGATAAACAGTTTGATATTTTGATTTGCCTATAACTTTGCTTCTTTACCTTTAAATTGCTTGGGTTTTGTAACTGATGTGTTAGATAAAGAATGCTGTTATCACATAGTGATGATAAAAAGAATTCTGTAATACAGCATATTTTTGGGAAAGACCATTTGGACCAGTGTCTCATAAAATAAACTTTCCAAAGGATTCCATTCCACATCTATCCCTCTCCTTCAGGAAAAACCTTGGAAAACAAATGTCTTTTGGGGTGACTTGGAGGTCTGCCAGTTCAGCCCTTGGCAAACTAGTGGGTGATGTTGATGACATGGGCAAAGATTTTTGCCTGAACTTCCATGAGACAGCCAGCCCAAGTGTCTCCATTCAGCTCAAGTGATGTGGTATTATGTGTTAAAAGATGTGGTCTCTAAGCTGAAGAATGCTCAGTCTGCTTAGGCCTGTGTCAGTCCAAACTAACACTGTAAATTTCAACAGTAATAGAATAGGAGGTCACTACAGAGCACATGGTTGTAGTGTATGTGGGTTTGGATAATGTGTATGAGTATATATAACAAAAATTAGGCCTGAGTATCTTATAGCGACTTGTTCAGCCATACCTGATTGTTGGTGGCAATGTGTAAATACTGAGAGATTTTTATTCTTAATAACTGTGTCAGGCCACTGTTTTGTAATGCTTCTGTGTTTATCCTCAACACCGTCTGTACCATATTTAATCCCAAGCAGTGGAATTTGGGTATGCTACAGTGGCAACAAACACTAGGCACTGCACAGCAAAGAAAATACTCTCCCCCTTTTACTTGCACTTATGCTCTTAAGGAATAAAGAACAAACACAAACAAACCTCCTTTATGACCATGTATGAGGAGTCTGGGAGAGGGATAATAAGCAGTACCTCACTGATGTGTTTTAATAAATACTAGTTTACTGTATCCCACAACAGAGAGCAAATACATGCAATTACTTGCAAATTTCTTCAGTGTTTGTACTTATAAATCTCTGCCTAAATCTTCCCAGCTGGGAGTTAGGCTAGTCTTTCTGCTGTGGAAACAGGGCTTTGTTCTCATGTTCAGCTTCAGCTCAGTCTGGAATAATTCAGAAACGTATTAGATAGATTGCTGCTCCCAAAAGACATAATGAAATAACCTTCACTCTCAGCCTTAGGGAAATAAGCACACAATCAGGGTTTGGGCAGATTTCTCGATTAAACAAAGAACTAACTGTGCACAAATTGCTCCATAACAATTTGTAAAGAGTCCACTTTATAAATTTCTTGCAGATGTAAAGCTGATATTTTTTTAATCAGAACAGGAGGGCTTTTAGCGTCAAAATGTTTTCAACATTTTCCCTTTGCTCCATAATTAGTATAAAAATATTTAGATTTAAAATTGAATTGGTAGCAAATCCTGTTGTTTTTTTTCTTTTTTGTTTTGTTTTGCGAATCAGTGAAATATGATGTCAAACCCAAGCTAAAATCCATGTTTAATATGTGTAGTTAACTTAGTCCAGCTGGAATAGATTCAGGATAACTTTGTGCTGTCAATTTTTATCTTGGTAAATTTCATATTGTATACAACAAAGGAATGAGAAGTTATTGCACTTAATGTTGTTGAGATTTCAGGTGTTCTCTGGTCAAATTATTCAATAAATCAAAAGCAGGCTTTTGTTGTAGCCACTAAGAATTGTTTAGAATAGGATATTTAGGAGATTTTTAGTAGCTTTCCATTGATTGAACAAGACACCCATGTCAGGCAAGAAGCATGAAATATTTTGATGAATAGCTGTATTAAATGGCAAGTCTAGGGACCTAGTAAACAGTGGTTCATATTTTACTTGCCTTAGTTTTTAACTTGGAAGTTTATAGTAAAAGAAAAAATACCACTCTAAATATTCATTCTGAAGCCTAACTGCTCGTCTACAACCTGTGCTTTAATACTTTGAAATCTCCCCGTGCATTTAAGAGTACATCCATATTTGTGTTTGTTAGCTTGGGTCTGATTACTTCATTCTTCAGTTGTTTATACATTTCTCAGTCCTACTTGAATCTAAACACACAAGGATATTACTATACTTTATTTAGAATGGAAATTTCAGATCTTGCATTTAATGAAATGAAACAACAGCTTTTTTTTTAGCCTGGTATCCATCTGATTCTTACGGTCTGATGCTCTCTCCGCTTGCATCTGTGTAAATCACAGAAAGTTAAATTGTAGGCTGTCAGATTCCACTGGTATAAGAGAAAGGAGCATCTAGTCCTCTCCATTCTTTACCTTACCTTCTGAAGTGTACTTTCAACAGCGCTCTTTCTCCCAATAGGAGTGTTCCATTTGAGTTTAAACTGACCTATTTTCTTTAAATTGACTTTTCTCAACTGTGTGGAACCAGGCTACAAGGAACTTGGATAAATAGAATATTGTCCACCTTCAACTGACCCTTCATTTATAGGGAAGCAATTCTGTTTAGAGGGGAAAAAACATGGCTAGAATATAAGGATTTTTGTGGACAGTATCTTTTATTGGTACAACTGCATGGCTAGCTTAGACTTAGGCAAGCTTTTGAGTGCAGTGCATTCTTCCTTCAGGTCTGAGGAAAAAGCAGGCACAAGGCAGAGAGATTTTAGTCCCTGTAACTACTTTTTTCTTGGGCTTGAAGAAGGATGCATGGCATTCAAAAGCTTGTCTATCCCAACCATTAACTTGTCACTCCATCACTACTATGGCTAGAACGTGTGATTTCTACTCAGAATGACTCTATTAGTATAACTGCATCTACAGTTGGGGTTGGTTCTACTTTACCTCTGTTAATTTCTACATTAATATACTTAAACTGTTACGAAAACCACTATGTAAATAACCCTTAAGAAACAGAAAGGTGAAAACACAACAGAAAGACCTACTGCTCTGAGCTGTAAATATAAGACTGTAATGTGCAGAGTGCTCTCACTAAGCCAAGTACCACAGTGGAAGTGCCCTGTACTTCCCAGCACTCAAAGTATGAAGCAAAATAAAGCCTTTGTATTTTGAGTCTTATAAACTTTGGTCCAGTATTTTAACTTTTAGGACCTGCTGGTAGGTCATCATTCAGTGTAAACTGGCATTGGTTCATTGATGGGTATCCCATTAGAATGAAAAACATCAAGGAGAGTTTGTCACACTGTGGAAGTCCAAGTTTGTTAGGAACAGAAGCAAAATTCACAGTTGCTGTCTGCCCTCAGTAGCTTGCCACTGACCTTGTTATGTGGAAATCAGTGACAGAGAAGGAGTAAAATTTGACCCCAAGTTGTGCTAAAATTTAGTTGCAGTTTGTATATGTGTTATTAAATGAGAAAATAAATGGAAAATGTTAAATATTTTAAACAAAATATTAAGCCATTTGAGAAAGATCATGAAATCACACTTATTTCACACGTGTTGGAGCAACTTGGTTTGGCTGTGGTTTGTGAACATGAAAAATAAGAAAATAAAAGGAAAAAATATAAATATTTATATGGAAAGATGAACAGACATATTGCTGAACATGTGTGCACATATTTACTGTGACCTATTAACTCATCTTGTTTGTAAAATAATGTAATACCATTAAAGTGTTTTAGAGACTTAAAACTACCTTGTTAAGGTTATTGAATGTGAAGGAAGGAGACAGCAAAATGGTAACTGGCATCTTGAGCTAAAGAAAAAACCTACCACTGAATTACTGGGAAATTCATCTTATCTTTTACTCCTGCTTCATGTTTGACAGGACCTTCTGACAGCTTTTACCCATCAAACAGATATGAAACACTGTTCAAACTACTTATATTCTGATAGCTGAACCCAGTGTTAGGAAATGAACTTTACAGTTATATTGGACATGTAATTAAATACAGTGTCGTCTTGCCAGTATGGACAGTAACAATTGCTTGAGGTACTGTGTTTTTATGCTGGAGAATCTGCAGTGGCATGTTGATTGGGAAGGCCCCAACTTGGTTTTCTTTTAAAATTGCATTTAAATATATGCTAGATACACATTCATCACTTTAATCTAAACTCTACTGTAAATTAGCATGTATAGCCTCTGAGATCATACACTTTCACAGAAGTACTCTAATGAAACTTGGCAGCTTTTACCCAGAAACATCATTTGTTCCATTCACCAGCAAAAGCAGACCTCAAACAAGTCAAAACTGTTTTCAGTAATGAGTTCCATTTTTTCTGAGTTTCAAATGTCTCCTGTCCTGTACCTATTCTGCTTTAAGTCAAAAAAGCACTACAGAGTTACATATATATCAAAGGAAAGTTGGTAAGATCTTGAGATATTTGTCATTTACAGTAACCAAACATAGGGCTTCATTTAGCACACGAGTGACTTGTCAGTAAAGAGGCTTTCTACTCAAAACTGGTACATTAGTTGCTTGATGCTTACAGTTGCTGTAACATGTTAAATTGTCTAGTGGAGGCTCTGTCATAAAGTCCTGTGCATACCAATTGTTACTCATAAGGTTCAGATGAAAAC